CAGACGGAGGTGTCATCTGTGGGGTCAAGGTGAAAGCACGTGATCAATACGGCCCGGGGAAACGGAGAGACACGTGAGAACTCGAGCCTCCGGGCCTAATGAAAGAGGCAGACAAAGGGCATTGTCGCGAACTTGCGATCTGTTCTCTGTCCGTGCAAATCCACTCTGGCAGGCAGAGTGTGTGTGTGTGCGCGCGCGCGCTTTAGCACGCGCCGAGTAATGAGGTGCTCGCGTTGCGAGTGCGTTTATTAAACGGCAAAGTGGCTGTGTCACCCGCGAGCTAATCTCTGCTGCCGCCGCCGCCACTAATGTTGTGATGCCTTTGCTGTCACTGCCGCTCTTGGTGCTGTACTCTATGCGCTTACCCACCGACCGCTATGAACCCGGTCAGCCAATAGCCTTTATCTTGGCCCGAATTTCTCACTGTTTACATTGCTTTGTGCCGGTTTCGCCTGATAAGGTTTAATTTGATCCGCGCCCGTCAGGTGATCTTACGCCAGTCGGGGGGGGGGGGGGGCATCCTCTCCACTTTCACCCTAGGAGGTCCCCCCCCCCCGAAACCACCCCTCCCTCCCCCCCCCGGCTCGCAAGCGTGGCTTATTCACGGCGTCCGAACGGTGGAGGGACTTTAGCCGCTGCCAAAACACGTCAGGAATGTAATTGTGGGATGCTCAGCGGCGCAGATAAGACACAAATGGCCCCTTTCAGGCGAACATGACAGACGTACTAAAGGCTAAGCGGTTTGCACACAAAGGACGAAGTTTATTACGCCGGTGATGCGTTGGGGGGGGGGGAAGGGCGTGCGCGCGATTGCCGGCGCTTCTCAACTCCTGCTCTCACTTGAACTCTCGCGAATCCACAGGTAAATCAAGGTGAGCAGCGCGCCGCGTCTCCCGCACTTTTCGCCAAACTCGCCGACGTTTGGTTGGTTGGTCCGACCCGGAGACTGTAGGTTCGCAACGTAACGCGTTTGCCGACTGATGTTGTCAGCCCCGTGAGTGGCCGGAGATCGAACCTGGCCGCCGCGAGGTTCGTAGAGAGGCATTCTGCTGCAACGCAAACGAAAGCGGCACCGCTCTTAACCCCCCCCCCCCCCAACCACCCCACGTGCTCGTCTCAGATTAATTTGCACAGAAGGTGCAGACATGAGAACAAGGTGGATACACAACAATGGATTTTCCTGTTCTCTTCAGGCTTCGGGAATTAACGTGGTTAACATTCCGTTTCCAGCTCTGTTGTACTTTCACGTAGCGGAGGGTACATTTTGACAGAGTGCTCGCGTGCCTGTGCGCACGTGTGGTGTCGTCGTGCTGGAAAGAGGCGATTGTAAGAGGTGAGCTAGGATATAAAGTAACGTGGAGTGGATGTGCGAGTTGATTGGTCAGGACAAGGACGAGTGGAGAAAGAGGGACGATGAAGGTAGACCTCACAGGAGTGGGGGGATACGTCGATAAGGAGTTGACAGCCGTGTATGAGAGAGTGAAAATTAGGGGCGGTAGTGTAGCGGTTAGCGCGCTGCACTACGAACCCGGCGACCCCAATCCAATTCCCGCTCACGACCGCCATCAGTGATGATTATATGAACCACTCCTGGGCCTCCCCTAGGTCGACCCAGCCTCAAATTAATACCTGATGGGATTGTGTAAACATCGCCACGGGGGAGACAGACTGTGTGGTGCTGGCCACCCACTCTCTCGTGTGTCGGCACGGCAAACCCAACGGGGGTGGAGGGGCGGAGGGGAGGATCTTTGTGTGAGAAAATGCACGGCTGGGACATGAGTAGACTTTAATTCCACCAGGTGAGAACCCGGTCTCTCTCGCGAGGGTGAGCTGGGTTGAGAAGTGACGACCAGTGCAGCGCAATACAGGATTCGGCTACGGAGCCAGTAACGTAGCGCTCTCTAATGCATGGCAGAGTGTACACAAACCTTTTAGATCTATCAAAAACATGGCCCCGTGACCACATGAGGCTATGCCACTTCAAAACGGCCCACAGGCGTATTTTAATCCTCCACTGCAAAAACATCTTGGCCGCACTAATCGGTACTAGGGGGGTAGGGGGGGGGAGGAGATACTTTTGAGACGACAACACTGACTTTATAATTGTAGGGCATCCAGTTACTCATGTCGCTGCTGGTGACCGATGTTTGCGTGTGTCTTAATGTGCGGCACCGAAAAAAAATGGGATTTGAAAGACCTCTTGGGCCCTCGGTTAAGAAAAATCTGTCTGCCCCAGACTTTGGATCTCTAAGGCTCAACAGCGAGGGGGGGGGGGGGGTCCCTGATGTTTGTGTTTGTGTGAGAGTAGGCCAGCAGTAGTGCCGTGGTTTCTGCACCTCCTCGTAAACCCAGAAACCCCGGGTTTGATTCCTGCTCATGGATATTATCATTGTAGGTCGACCTCCACCTCAACGGAATAGCTGGCGCGATGTGTAAATATCCATCATGAGTGGACAAAGGTCGTCCTGTGTGGCGCTGACCACACCACACCTTCATGCACCGTGTTGGCCTTAATAGGTGCTCGCTAACATCACTCACCTCAACGGTCTAAATAGGCTACATGGAGGATCTTTGTCATGTACTCTGGGTGTCTTGCACAGCCTCAATAGAGCGGACACCTCTGCCCTGCTACTGGACAAGTCCCATCCAACGGAGGTGAATTAACAGATTCTGCACGCGTAGAACCCGTGTGATTTCCACGTATTTGTTTGTTACCGTGTGATATATTTCCGTACGTGTGTGTGTACCGGTGTGCGTGTAAAAAAAGAAATCCATAAACATTTAACGTATCCTTAGCGAGATCTGTTTCCTGTTTCTCAATGCAACGTTTATATGACACTTTCCTGTTTCCTAGACACGGGAACGCTAAAAAAAAAGCCCCCCCCCCCCCCCCCCCCCAGTTATTTCACGGAGGCCGCCGCGTAACGGGGAGGCGGGCGGGCGGGCGGGCGGCGCTGGAAAATGTCCCCAAGCGAGAACGGTTAAATCACGAGCACGTTGCATTCCCTCCTCCTTCAGACTTTGCGCCGTGAGCGTTTGGCTGAGGCAAGCCACCGCCATGGCTGGAAAGGTCCCGGTAAAGTGGGACCCACCACACCCCTCCTCCCTTCCCACTAGCTCACACAGGTCCGACTGTTAACAAGCCTTGCCGTGGGGGTGGCGGTAAGGGGAGAGATTTTGCATGGCTTGCCTTGTCCCATATATATAAATAATATATATATCATGGTGTGTGTGTGTGTGCGTAGGAAGTGGGTGGCGCGCTGGGTTAGCGCACCGCGCTATGGACCCGGCGAGCCAAGTTCGATCCCCCCCCCATCCCCCGCTGGCAGTCAGTTTTAGCGACGGGTATCTGAAACGGTCCTGGGCACTCACCTAGGTCGGCTCGGCCTGAAATTAGTATCTGGTGCTGCGTGTAAAATATCAGCATTGGGGAGAGATGAAGGCAGGCCGGGTGTGGTTCTGGATACACACACTCCGTCTCGTGTCCTGCCAGCCTTCATGGATGCTCACTTAGGGGCCATCCGTTTAGTACGCATGGAGGGGGAGTTGGGGGGGGGGGTTAACCCAAATGCGTAGCTTGTGTATGGTGGGGGGGGGGGGGGCTACTTACAATGTACGCATAGGAAACGGGGGGGGGGTGAAGCCTCGATAATAATTTGTCTACATTGGCCTTCAAATGAGTCAGATAGTCCGGCGGTGGACTGTTTGAATCCTTGATCGTTTCTGCGTGGATGAAATATCGGCCGTTCTATAGGATTCGGGGAGGGGGGTGGGGGGTCAAGTGTACGTACGCAGGTAGGGGGGGGGGGTAAAAAGTACGCGTACGTACAGGGAGGGGGTCAAGCTTTGACAGATTTTTGCGAAACCTACTCAATGGATGGCCCCTTATGGCAATTGCCCCAATATCTGCTCAGTCTATAACCTATACGGTGTTTCACTTTCTCTATTGCACAATGGTAAATTGAGTGCATAATGAATCGGTTTTTTTGCGATTTTGATGCAGGAGTTTGTTATGAAAAGATGCAATTGGTTATCGTGTTGTGTCTAACTCGGCTTATTGGGCTTTGGCTGATAACGCACGGCCGAATTCTACCAAGAAGCAGATGACACACGCACACGCGAATCTGTTTTTAGTTTTAAAAATACAATAAAATGCGGACACATCGGCTATTAAAATCCAAGCTGTGTGCATTCCTTGTCACCGCGAATTTTCTCTCTGCTCGGAGCGCACACGACTACACGATACCACCCCGTTGGAGCTTTATAGCGAAACACAAAACCCATCGAATTTTTAATACAAGTGTTTGTAATATATATCTTGTACAATTAACAACACGCATTAAAATGGCACTGTTAGATATTTAAACAAAGATTTAAAAAATATATATCCCCCGATGCGCAGGTATTGAAACGTGACAACCGAGGATTGGTTTCATCAAAATTAAGGTTCATCAGCACAGTGCAAGTCACCAGTGCTCATGGCTGGTGTCAGAGAGGGCATCCATTGAGTCGGTACGCAAAAATCTGTCAAAACTTTACCTCCTTCCCTGTAGGCACGCGGACTTTTTACCCCCCCCCCCCCCGAATCCTATAGAACGACCGATATTTAATCCACGCAGAAACTTTTAAGGATTCATAATATTATTAATATTATCGTGTTTAAGCAAACAGTCCACCGCCGGATTATCTAACTCATTTGAAGGCCAATGCAGACACATTATTATTATCGAGGTTTCACCCCCCCCCCCGTTTCCTATGCGTACATTGTAAGTAGCCCCCCCCCACCATACACAAGCTACGCATTTGGGTTAACCCCCCCCCCTCCCCATGCGTACGTTGTCAATGGATGGCCCCTAACTCTAATCAATGTTTGTATAGTCGTCTTAAGACAAGAGGACCACAATGCACTTCTTCAGGAAATGCCGAGGGTTTGTGTCGCACGTTGCACCGAGGGCGTTTGCCTATTTTTGTCGTTTTAAAATGATCGCAGGAAGGTACTACGCACCGATTTTTTTTAAAAAAACAACTCTCTTCTCTAAGGAGTATTATCGCCGTTTTATATATATTTTTTTTCATTCTCAATTTGGGCTTTCGAACGCCACTCCCAACCCTGCTCTCTCCTCCATCTCTTCAATAAATTGCTCGTTCTGGATGCCGTGCCGCCTTCAGTATAACCGCCCTAGGTACACGCGACACTCTGCCGTGTTTTCTCGATGCGCCCCTCCGACAAACGTTGACACAATCTTCGTCGACGAAGGCCAGCGAGGGCACACGAGAGGGTGGTTTTGGTGGGCGGCAAACACCCCTCGCCGCCTTTGTTCACCAACCGCACCGGGATCTCTCATTTGAGGCTGAGCTGACCTAGAGGGGAAGGGGGACGCTTGGGACCGGTTCGAATATTCGCCACTCATTACTCGTGTGCGGGAATCGAACTGGGGTGGCCGAGTTGGTAAGGCAAGCGCGTTAGCCGCTACACAACGAACAGGCCCCACACACAGTAATGCTCTTCGTGTAATATTTAACATGTCGAGGCTGCGGATTGTCGCATGCGTTTTAGTTTCCATGCCGTCTGATTGCTCGCGATGCGAGATGCCTTGCAGAGTTTAGCGGGGATTACGCGCACCCTAATGCTTTAATCGCAGGCCCTGGCATGAGTTTAAATGTGCAGGGAGAAAAATCCGAGCAGAACTGCGAAGGCTCAAGCCTCAAACGCCGTGCATGCTTCACCGCTGGCCGACGCGATTCCTGATGGGGCCGCGCTTAAAAATCCCGCACCCATAGATTATTATTTTTTTTTACTTTTACCGCATGCGAAAATTCCCTCTACGGCAGAGTTTCTCAAAATGTTGTTGGCCCGCGGATAACTCGGCCGATGCAAACGTTTACGCTGACCACCCAGCTCCCCACCCCCCGCCCATGCTGACAAAACGCGTTTGCTTATCTCTCTAAACATGCCAGCAATGCATGATTCATATTACCGGAACATAAAACAAAAATCACGCAGCTATGAGGTGCATTTTAGGGGTGGCATTTCGATCTTAGGGTAGTTTAATGAGGGTAGTTTACCTAACTTCATTTTTAAATAAATGAGTAAAAGGTTAATTAATGTCCCAAACAACAGGTAAGTTGCACTTCTGCGGCCGTCTGGAACGCTCTTCCTTCATATATTAAGAAGCCACTGGAGCTGTGCACTTTTAAGTCACCTAGATTTGAAACTCATTTCTCGAGAACTGCTTTTTTGTGTTTTAGTTCTTCCAGCGCAACCTCCGATAATGATTAGCATGGTTCGCTACTTACAGTGCGAAAGAAGTTCAATATCATACATCCGTAAAATTATTTCCGGATCAACCTGCATTTGCTTCACAGCCCCGCGGACCAACTGGAGACCAGTAACGTGCGGTGAGGTCAATGGCTGGGGAGGCACTGGCTAGTGTCAGAGCCAGATTCACACACTGAGGGGGGCGTGGCCTCACTGAAGGGGGCGTGTTAGACACGTCCCCCTCAGTGAGGCAGATGTGATAGCTGCCTCCCCTGGTGCTTTTTCATTGCAGTTTCATGACGAGACCAGCGAGCCTAAATATCTTTATATACATACGTGAAATAAGTTACCTGGAGTATGGAAGGCGAGGACATGAAATGAAGGGGTCTACAAACATTACAGTGGTGACATACTGAGATAGTAACAGGCACGCGCTTATTGCCCACGCTCCATCCGGTTACTGAGGGGTTGCGCAATCAGAGGGGAGGCTGAGCTCGTCGCTGCCTCACCTCTCGTCTCTTCCGGTATTTGCAGCGGAGCTCCGCAAATTTTGGCGATCTTGACTAAAAAAATGACTGGAATCGTACAGAAATGACATTTATAACACAGATCAGTGGAACAATCTTAATATTTATTTTATTTGATTATTCTTTTTTTTTTCCGTAACAGCTATTTTCATTGGAGTATGACAGGCGAGGCTCTGCTTCCTCTGCCTCCCCTGACCGCACGTCCCTGCTGGAGGATCGTTCTCAGACCGCCGGTGGGTCCGGGGACCGCACTTTGAGAACCACTCTGCTCTTCTCTGGCTTTCACCTTCAACCGTTCCGCTCTCTTGCGAAACGGCAATGGGGGGGGGGGGCGGCGGCGGGGGGCGTTTGATCCAAGTCCACAGAGGTTTCTTGTGCACGTGCTTGTCACGGCAAATGTACGTGAATTCGGTGAAAGAGGTGTTTTGCTTTAATTGTAACAATAATTCACATTCCTATATGTTTTGTTATTTAAACGATTAGTATTTTTTTTTATTTTACCAGGTAAGGCCCACTGAGCCCTATAGCTCTTTTTTTTCAGGAGCGACGTGGTAGGCAAATGATAGCCCAATGAGGAGTGGCTTATGTGGACATTTATAGCGGCCAAATAATCTAAACGCACGTCGATTCTAAATGTGGAGGGGGAAAAAAGCAGAGGACCTGGAGAAATACCTACGCAACCACGAGGAGAGAGAGAGAGAGACACGAGAACTCCAAATATGAAGCAGGTGTCGGGGTCGCGATCGAAGTCACGACTTCCTGCATACCAGGCGAGGTAGTTAACATCACATCACCGTGGCGCCTCCATACTTGGAGCATCTGTGGATGCTTCAGGGTTTCAGTTTCAGTTTATTTATTTTGGTATAGCCCTGTGAGCCATTCGGCTCTTGAATCGGGTGCAACCACAACAAACAAAAAAACAAAAACACGAACAAGAAAAACATCTTAAAGTGACTATGTGACTGTGCAAACAGAAAATCCATGAAAAAAAAACAGCAAAATATTCCTGAAAAAGGCACCGTACACCAACGCTGTGTGTAAAAAATCCCAGTGGGATACAAGTCAAACAACAACAACAACAACAACCACAAGAAAACTTATATTAAGGCCATCAGTCTAACTCCGTACTAAAACAAAACAAACATGTCCAAACCAAAAAATGTTTTCGAAATCACCAAAAAATAAAGCCATAATTGCAACGTAACAGTGATCACAGGGACTGTGACCGAATTTTTACAATAACTACATAAATAACATGTAACACCAAATCCTAGAGCCATAGCTGGCTGCATGAGTTACTCCACAACAACAGAAGCATCGGTCGGAGTATCAAATTTTTCAATGCATCTTTAAGATCAGCACGCTAAATCAAAATACAGATGATACTTTGCAGCGTCATCCGGAGCGAAACATTTTATTTTATTTTACGCCAATGAATAGCAGTGCAGCTAGGGGTGTACAACTCCTCTAGAGCAGTTTTGAGAGAAGATCTCATTGGTAGCGATTCAAGTTGCAGTTTATTGGCAATAGCATTCCAGACCCTGGAGGCATAAATAGCAAAGGCCCTTCCTCCAGTTTTTGTACGGCAATAGGGAATGTGAGGCTGGTAAATGAGTGAAGACCTGAGGTCAAATTTGTTCTTTGAAAGAGAGAGGAGATCCAGCAGGTAGTCTGCGGATTTGTTTGTAAGTACATCGTGAATAAATAAGATCTGGTGCACAAGCCGTCGAACATTAAGAGATGTTAAGTTTGACCCAGTGTAGAGATCACAGTGGTGAGTCCTATATGGGCAGTTCAATGTAAATCTTAAGGTCGAGTGATAGATGGAATCAAGCTTCTTCAGTACACTATTTGGGGCTGATTTATACACGATGTCACAGTAGTTAAGTAGAGGCAGTATGGTAGCTTTTATCAATTCCAAACGGAACATTGGGGGGAAGCAGTGCTTGTGTCAATACAAAACCAATTTTTATTTTTGTCTTTTTACCAATATAATCAATGTGATCTTCAAAATTCAGTTTTGAATCCAGGATGACCCCAAGATACTTATAGATCTTGACTTGCTCTATTTGATAATTATTTAAGGAATGTAATTGGGGAAAAATAACTTCCTGCTTTAGTCCTGGTGAGAAGCATAGCACCTTGGTTTTGGAGGTATTCAGGACTAGTTTAAGAGCAACTAGCTGATGTTGTAGTTTGTTGAAATCACCCTGTAGCTTAGCAAAAGGAGGATCTACTTGTTACACTGCTTCGTATTGCTCTGCCTACCTGTGGTGGTGCCGTGCACTTTATGGCTCACTGCCCAATCCATCAACCCCAACTCAAAGTCACTGGATTCCCATCGCGTGATACACCTGGTAGAATGGGGTATGCATTAAGTCCTGCTATATCATCGTCAACAATGGGAAATACATTGCCGGATGAAGGCCTACCCAAGCCGCATCTGCAAATGAACTTTTTTCATTACTCCGTCTCTTCCTAGGTGGCGGTCCTCTTGGATACATTTTACATTCAATAGTTTTAATGATACATGAAATAACAGTGACCAAGTACACACACACATCGCGATCATACACACATCAACGACACAGATTCCCCGTATAGCCTTCACAAACCGTTGAGGAAAGTGCTGTTAGCGAGCGCCTACAAAGGCCGGCACGGCACACGAGAGGGTGGGTTTGCCAGCACCACACCTGCCCGCTTTTGTTTCCCCAGTGGCGATGTTTACTACACACAGCACCAGGCACTCGTTTGAGACTGAGTCGACCGAGGGGAGGCCCAGGACCGGTTCAGATAATCTTCACTGGTGTTGACCATGGACGGGACTCGAACTCGAGTCCCCAAGGTTTGTAGCGCAGTGCGCTGACTGCTCTACACGACCGCTCCCCACCTCGATCACACACCCACACAGAGCCATCGTGAATAGTCTAACATGGCTGTACACTCAGCCATAGGTTGAAATAAGGGAGAGGAGGGCAGGTTTTGAAAGTTAGAAAGTTGTACGCTCATGGAGAGGAACGCGAATATTAATTTACACATCAAGCGTTTGGGAATTTTTGTTGTTACTTTACGCGGTGGTGGTGGTGACTACAAAAAATTCCAATCAAATGACGTTGCTGTATGGAAGCCAGGTATCTGCGCGCGAATGTGATATATTAGGATTTAATGAATGCGAAAATTAATGACCTGGTGACATAGAATTTCAGTAAAAGTTACAAAATGTATACCGGCGAAAAAGTTTCCCTCCCCCCTCCCATTCCAAAAAAATAAAAGGTCACCTTGTTAAGTTGTTTTTTTTTAGGTTAGCAGGCAACGTACACTTAACCGCTCTCCTGATGAATGTCGCGGTGCTAATACGCAAACCTCCAAATCATTAGTTTCTGTCGCTCATTAAAAGAGAAACGTTATACGGTAAGTGTGGCTAATCACATTACACAACGGAGCAGTGTTATGCTCATTAATTTCACAATCTGTCTCTTCACATAGCCTGCTCACCCACGCTAACAGAGCCGCCAGATGGGATAGTAATTGCTCCCAGCTGTGAAAGGCGGCTTGCAAAAAAAAATAACATCTTCCATTTCTGACTACTCTTACCAATTGTATCGAAGTGTTGGACCTTGATTTAAAAAAAAGTAAATTAAATAAAATGAAGTGCCGTTTACTTAACATTACTTTTTTTTTTACACTTCGTTATTCCCTTAGTGGCTTCGAACTGAACAAACAGAACAAAGTCTACGGGCGCTGCACTTTTTGGGCTTTGAAATGAAATTTTCATGACGGGAAAACTTGGATTGTACCGCTTCGTTAAACGACGGAGGGGAAAACTTTTATGTAGGGTGGAACGGTGATGCAGTGGTTAGCGCACTGTGCCACAAACCGCGCAACCCAAAAGTTCGAAACCCCGGCCACTATTAGATTCGGTGGCTAAGGGCGACGTCTGAACACGTCCCGGTCACCCCCCGTCTCGTTATCACTTCACCGACCCGCGCTGACGAGCGTTGCAAAGTACGGGCAAGCACCCCCCCCCCCCCCCCCTCAATCCAGCAGTGGATAGAGGAAGAAGCGCACGTACCGTATCCTAAAAGATTGGAATGAATACGTACGCGTCGGGTATCATCGCCGAGCCACAATGGCGCAAGTCGCCCGTGCAACTTTCCCGCGGACGTTAAGAGGGGCACTGCCTCCCCCCCCCCCCTTTGTCTGTAAGTGGGCTTCATCCTAACGAGGATATTGAATGAGACAGCGCATAGGGGCAGCGCCCCCCCCCTGCCTCCCTCCCCCACTGCCCCAGCCATCCATCCCCGTCTGACAAAACGTCAGATTTATCTGCAGCCAGCGATTGTGGGTGGGAGGGGGGTGGGTGAACGGTGGATGGGTCGGGGCCGTGTATTGGGGGGTGGTGGCAGGCTGGGGCGGCGGGGGGGGGGGTGCTGGTGGTAGTGGTGGTGGAGGGGGGGGGGGTGCATTGTGGGCGCCTAATTTCTCTCAGATGCACCCCGAATCCGGCGAACTGACACTTCTCATCAGCCCTGAGATGGAATTCCGCGACGCGTCCTGCCAAGGTGGCCCGCAAGCGAGACCCCGTGTGGGTTGATGCTGCTGCTGCTGCTGGCGCTTGTCGGCGGCCGTGTTGAGGATGGCGTCATGGGGGGGGGGGGGCGGGGGGGGGTGGTGTGGAATTGACAGCTGTGGTGTAAGAGGCAAATGTCTCGTGCGTGGGATTTTTCGCGGTTGTGCCGCTGTACGGCTCCGTGATGTCTTGTGGGCCTTACCTGGTGAACGTAAAAAAAATAGTTGAGTATAGTCAAAAAGTTGAGTTTGTCCGGCACGTCTTCGGGAACTGGATCGTTCCCGAAGACGCTCCCAGGAGCAGGAGCAGCAGCACGTGGTGCGAAACGTCGGACCTAGGCGCTGCGGCAACCCAAAAAGTGCGACGCAGCGCGACAGCAGGAGTGAAGCGGGATGGATCGGTACAGGGCACCGCGTGCACGCGAGTACACGATCTCGTGTGTACGCGCAATCCCGTAGGCTTTTTGCGACGATTCACCTCGCCTCCGCGTTCCAGTCGCTTGTGCCGATTCATCGGCACCTTTACATTCATCCATACCAATCTTAATCCTCTGCGAAGTGTCTCGGTGAAGGTGCTATGTAAATGACGGTCACGATTCCGGTGGGGGTTTTTTATTTGGTGGTGAATATCGTGGTTTCGAACTTGTTTGGAGGTGGTGCGGGG